AAAAAAAAGAATAAAACGGGGGTTTTTTAATGTTTTTTTTGTTTTTTTTTTTGGGGGTTTCCCCGCCCGGGTCCTTTCAAACCCGCGTGTGGGGGGTGTTTCTTTTTTTTTTCCCTTTTTTTTAAAACCCCGAAAGGTTTTTTTTTTAAATTGGACCCCCCCCCCCCCCCCCCCCCCCTTCGATCGAGCGATGAGCGTTGCCTCTCCCATTGTTCACCCATGCTATTTCTTCCCGGTAAAACCATGGGCTGCACCTCACAATGGTGCCCCTGTGTCGCTCCACGCCCAAACCCCTACAGTAGTCCGTTCGTCGACGCTCCGGGAAGGTGCCCGCTACATAGATATGCTTCCACCCAAACCTTCATCGGACAGCAGCAGCAGCACTCGAAAAACACGCGAGCAGCAAGCACCTGGCGCTTCTGCTGCTACCCTCCCCAGCTCCATGCTTGCCAAAAGAGGCGGAGAGATGGCACCCCCCCCCAGGACCGACTTTCAAAGCTCCATGGCTCCACAACCAACGGGGTGCGGAGAGAGCCCGATACATTTACGGAAAGCCCTCGACGAGATGTTTCCAATACAGTACCACTATTTTTGGTGTTGACACAAGCTTGGTTGTGAAGCAAATGAGTCTAGGAGGGGTGCCGTATCTCTGCCTCTTGCGGTACGCGCCCCATGCCTGCCGCCGCCGTCATCATTCGACGCCTTCTCACTCGCAAGTAACCGCGATTCGTTCGTTCGTTTTCGTTCGTTCGTTCGTTTTCGTTCGTTCGTTCGGAAGGAAGGAAGGAAGGAAGGAAGGAAATAGATTGGTGCCTACGTATACATTATTTTTTCGCTGCTTGTGTCGTCCGCGCAATGCCCCAACAACCGTTTCGTGGCGCAAGCTAGCAGGCAAGCAAGCAAGCAGCCCTCGTCACGACGAGACAGCGGCGGGGACAGCAGCCTCCTCCTCCGCCACCACCTTTGGCTCGCCGCTGGTGGTGGTGCTGTCGTCGAACAATAGCCTCTGGAACAGGCCGTTCACGAAGACCCTGTTGGGGTCCCATTCCTTCGACAGCGCGGACAGCAGCGGCAGCCGGCTGGCGTAGGCTCGCTTCAGCTTCTCCTCCGCGCCCTCGACGTAAGACTCGGTCCACTTCGCCCAGTGAGGGAGCCCAGCCGGTGAGCCGTCCTGACGTGGGTTCAGGATAAACCGGGGGAAAGGGGGGGAGAATCAGCTGCATGGCTACATGCTGTCGGTTCTCCTTAGGGTCGAGTGGTATGTGCCATGCGAAGTATTTCGATAAGAAGGCGAACTCCACAAGACAAGAACGGCATCGTTTACTGCCCGGTCCGTAGAGGCCGAATTGTAAGCTACCGCAGTACTGTTCCTGAAGCGTTTGGCACGCAAGGGGGGGGGGGGGCGGCCGAACTTGAACGGCCAAAGATTCCCCCGCAGCAGGTGCTCACAGAATTGCGACAAAAACATTTGTGGCACGCAGTTCGCTGATTGGTTAAAAAAACTGCGGCGGAATTTCCACAAACAGGCACGACCGAAGATCCCCGGACAACGGGCAGCGTCATCCAGGGTCGAAAGGCCGGGATCCTGGGACAATTGATGAATGAATGTGGCCGATTTCTCTGAAGAGAGAGATTTCCACGGGAAGGCGAAGGGGATGGATCCTCTCGGCCGACTGATCGGCGTTCGATCTTGGTTGATGATGATGATGGTGGAATCTTTCTCATCTATCTTCCGTCTGTGTGTAGTCTAGATAGACTATAGTAGGCTTCGCCTGGCGATGGCTGTCGTCATCATCATCAACCTCGCGATGGCTGATCTTCCTTCCAAACACATATATATTACTGGCACGCAGCTTTCCCTGATCAAAACGCCGGATATGTGTTTTGTCCTGACCGTCCGAGCGAGAAAAACATGAATGGCTGGCACCTAGGGGTGTCCCACGACGCATCGCGTGCTCTGAGATTGATTCTCATTTTTAGAGAGATTATTCCCCGCGGCAGCAGCGGCTGGGTGATGCGGACGAAAAAACAGTGGCACGCAGTTATTAATTGATAGATTGGCGGAAACATCGAGGAGCAAGCGCGTTCTCTCTGCTTTTTTTGTGGCTGCTTCGAATAATAATCCAAAGGCGCAGTGTTCCCCGCCACTCGACTACTGTGGCACACGATTGGTCCTCCTGCATGAAACTGACGATAGACAGACAGAAGAGAAAGAAAGGGATCCTCCACCATGCACACACAAACACACGCGCGTGGCGGATCTATTTCAGAGACAGCACACGCATACATTTGAGCCACCCCTTTTACTTCCAAAACTTCCGTGAAACAATTGAAGCGATCCTTCCCGCCCCCGCCACAAACACGAAATGCGTTGCTACATGTCATCTGAACCAAATTCAAGGAAGCTCGAGAATCGCTCTTGTCGGCCACGCATCGTCCAAAAGGGAGGGGAGTACCCGGAGAGGGGCTGGTGTTGCTTGTTAAGACACGTCGCCTTCCGGCATAAGTTGTGAACTGGAGATAAAAGTGCAGGCCCACCAGAACATGTCCGGTAAACGTGACGCGGGGCTCCTTGGGAAAATATGAAGACACAACGGAAGGCTGACGCCAGCTAGCCGCACAGCCTTGTGGTGCGGGAACGCCTTGCATTTAATTTACGGGTACAAGAATCGAGGACATGCGCGCACAACCTATCACA